ACATCCATGGTTCTGTGGGATGCAAGTCCACACTCTTCACTCGATCAGATCGAGCTGTTAGTTTCCGCTTTATATCAAGTCGGAGAGGCTAAACAGAGGAAGATTTATTAGGCTATATCAAACAAACAGTATCTGCGTATATTATTAAAAAATGAAAATAAAAGCTTGGTTATATTTATGTAACAATATATCATTATTATTTCTGCAATGAGCCAGATTAGTTTTTCATACAGGTGATGTTTGAAATTGCTCATGAATTTTGTGGACCCCAGACCATAAAATTAAGCAAGCAAGGAAATATTGCCACTGACTCAACAGAAACATTCATTTTTACATGAAAGGAGCTCACTATCTATGTAGATTAATCAAAATAAGACTTATGGCAATACAAAACAATTACAGAACTGATATTAAAAAAATAGTTTGGGGCAGCTCCTAGAAATGGACAGGAATACAACTATACAAATAGAACAAGAAGCTTCTAACTTGTGAAACTGTAAAACCACACTGAAGGCAAAAGCTTAATTTTTTTTTTTAAAAAAATGAGATGCCTCTTTAATATAACCATAACTATTAAGAGAAAAAAAGATTATTGACAAAACATGAAGATTTTATGCTTTAATGTTCCAGATTTCTAGTCCTTCACTTGTGTCTGAAATACAATAAACAAAAAAGGAACACTCTGAAAAGATTGAACTAATCAGAGTTGATGGTACTGAATCAAACATGACAATATTTCAGTTTTAAAATAAATTAGCAGTTTCATTCTGCTCAGTGATAAAATCATCTCCCATCTGTTCAAAAGCATATGCATATCCAAGATCTGGAACATGCAGATTTTGTTTTGAACAAGTAAAGGAGTATCATTACAGTAATCATGCAACTTTATCAATAACCTAACCCACATGTTAGCTATGGGGCACCAGCACTTATCTTTTAGTACTGATTTAATATGTGTACATTAAGGCAATCATATCCATACTGACAAAATCTGGATGAACATTAGATGGAAATAAATAGAAGCAGAAAACTCTCTGCTGCCAATAGTGATTGTTGGATTAGCCTCAGTTTCAAATTATGAAAGGGCATGAATGAAAGCAACAATTGCAGCATTGTTAAATGTTCATAATCATATTATGTAGGTACAACAGAAAATGTACTTCAAGGCCTGTCCTTTTCCCAGCAACATTTGGAACAGAAAATGAGCTAACTCCCAGGTAAGATAACTAACTAAAGATTGGCCCAGGAGGTATGCCGTCGTTGGCAGTTAAACCCTCTCAGAGCATAGATGACAATTCTAACAAGATTCAGAATAGGCTTTCACCCATAACGAAGAGAACCGAAAAATTTCAAGTCGTAGGAGCCCAGGTGGGGCTCTTTTGATTCATCAGCATCTATTGCAAAGACAAATTGGCAGAAATAAATTAAATCAAGATCAGAATCAATAAGCGTTCTCTTCTCCCAATCAACTTAAACAGCGTTGCCATTTTCCCACGGAAAACTGATTTTTTTCTCGCCATACGTTCGGACCAAGATATACAGTATTACCGTCACGGTTGGATGCACGGCTCGTGAACACTCCGAGCTTCTATCGATTAACCTATACAAACAACCGTTTGGAAGAGTAACACTGAGGCTCTTGCATGAATGGAGGTGGAACCAAGCCAAGTCTTTTCTACACGTATTCCTGATCCGACCCTTGTTCGATCCAGCTATATTCCTCTCCCCTCTCGGCCTACTATTCATAGGGAAGCCTCCACTAAAGCTCCTCTTTCTGAGACTCTCGACTGGCTCCAGCTTACCATAGTGCTGGCTCCCGCGACGGCTGCTCAAGCCACACAACTTGCCGAGGTTGGTTCCCAGCTCAATTCACCGACGTGGAGTTTCCGGCTTCAATTGTTCTCGCGAGAGCCAAAACCAAACGAGAACGTCGGGCAAATATTCTTCCGGCGCGCCTTCTGAGCAGGGATTTGGCGATTTAAAAAAGATAGAGATAAGAAAAAGTGAAGAGGAGCTTACTCCACTTGGATAGTCTGTTTTGACATTCTCTATCGAATGGAACTAATTTCTGTACCCCTGTGAGCATTTAGAAGAAGAAGCTGTTAAATATACTATAATACCATTCGTATTTACTGACTAAAGTTCATACTGTGTCTATATAAAATAAATCCAGATTTACTGAACTGTCTTTTAAAGCCAAGCTAGAAAAATCTGTAGACTTTGTGCATGTTTTTCCTGATGTTAACAATTATGGGATCTTAAAAATATGTTTAATGCAAATTGAAAGAGTTGCATTTTCCTATATTTTCTTAAATATAAGAAAATGAAATGATTGGTTATGTAAAATAAATACAAATGTGATAACCTAAGTTTAAAAGTGAAAACAAAATGGCCATCCAGTCTAGAATTACTTGAAGGTTGTGTGTGTGTCATCCTACAGATGTCTTTTGCTCAGGTTACCATTGTCAGTGCTTTATTGATATTATCCCCGCCCTCCTGAATCTGATTCTGATTCACAAACACTGGCAATAAATTTCATTTTTGGCATTAGTTTTATCACTAGGAAACTGAAGAATGAGTCCTTAGCCTAGTTGATTCTAACTGATAAATAGATCTCAAAGAATCAAGTATCTTGATTCTTTCTTATTGCCAACTATTAATTTACCTTCTGCTATTGTGAACAAAATTTGATTCAGATGTACACAATAATAGAGCCACACCTTTAAGTCATCACTATTTTGTTTTTGTCTACATTTCAAATATCTTTACAACATCCTCTGCCCCACACAGAATGGAGCTCATATCAGGAAGATTTGATACTCTGAAGTGATGCTGGGGATTCAACCATACCTGTTTTCAAGAGCATATGTTCAGAATACATATTTTCTTTACCTGTCCTTAGACCTAATTTACTTACACATCAGCAGATATACGGAGGGGACTTCATCAGAAATCTATGAGAGTTCATTCTGCAGCTTTCTTATTTCAATCTCTAAGAAAATCACAATATTCTGTACTGTTACAATTAAGGATGTTGGTCTAGCAAGAATGCCTTGTTGACACCTACACAGTTTACTCTTGATTTTTGAATGCACATTTGAATTTTTCTCTGTTCTTTTCATCTGTTGGTAACTGCTTTGTATTATTGTTATTTTTAACTGGTCTACAACTGTACAGTAAGTAAACAGGAAAATAGAAAAGTCATATGTCTTCGAGGTATTCAGTTCTATAATGATTGAACGCTAGTGATTAAGTTGTTGGATTACTACTGCGATCCAAGAAATGGAAAATCATTGAGTGGCTTTAGGCCAGTTATTCTCTCAATCCAACCTATTTCACAAATTCAGTGCTGGAGAAATAAAATGAAGGGAGATCCCCCATGCAAGTTGCTTTTAGCTCACGGAGGAAACACTGAATATAATTGTAACAAATAATATAAATGTAATATTTAGTTATGGGCTTTTAAGTTATACTATAAATATAGTAAAATGAAGAGGGTATTTCATGTCAGTGTCTAAAAAATACTTGTACCTTGATAATAGCTGATACAAAGTAACTAAGTTAAGATTAAAACATTTCTGCATGTTATCCATTTCATTTTCTGGTTTCCTGGTATGTAGTGTAGTTGGAACGGGTAATAAAATATGAAGTTAATTGTAGCAGCAATAATGGGCAAAAGGCAGAAGATTATTTTGTATCAGTTTAAGATGTAATAGTGGAATTTGTAATGAGAGGCTTTGCTTGAAGGAAAAACAAATGAGAGCTATGAGCCAGTGGGAACCCAAGTAAATTTCATTTTTGCCCTTTGTCCATCATAAATCATCTCCCAATACAACACTATCATTGACATGCCAACTTTATCTGCACAGATTTTAATTATCTGAAATGGATGCCCTGCTCATTTTACAGCAATTTGGTTAATTATCTCTATGTCATGATTTTCAACCAGATAAAGATGATGAGTTGGGTGGCAAATACCCTTCAAGAGGCTTTTGATGAAAATATATTAATTTACTTCAATAACTCTTAGTCAGCAGATGGTAATTTTAAAAATGTGGCCTGAATTTCAGTTTAAGATTTAGGTTTGATGGACTATCTATTCCATCTGCTAATTATTCCGTTATCCAGCTGCTGAACTCATGAACTAAGCAGCCAAGACCAGTAAACTTCAAAAATTAAAAGGTTGAAAATTTTTTCAGATGTTTAATATTGGTTCTAGCATGAAAGAATAAAAAGGCCATAATCTCTACATGCTTGTTTATGTTTATGAATAAGCCCATTGAAGCCACCAGACCTTTTTAAAATGAATGTTCTAAATGAAATAAAGGATTGCACAATTAGTTATCATCATTGATTATATATTTATCTTGGTACTTTCAGCATTCATTTTTAATTATATCTGCCAACCATGATTTGGGTTTTTAACCTGATAAATGGCGAAACACAACTCAAGCAATGTAGTACATCAATATAAATATTTTAATGTGCCAAAGGGCAAATGATGGTTTGTGGAAAAGGAATAGAATAGAATAGCTTGATTTACATAATATCCTAAACTTCAAGTGTACAATTAATATGCTCAACCTAAGGTATGAATCCAATCAGCATATGCACTTGGTTATTCATATGAATGTATACTCAAGCCATGTATAAAAATATTACAAAATTATCACATAAGGGCTATTATCTATGAGAATAATTCCAAATAAATAACTTTTAACAGTTTTGCATAGCAAGAAATATGCACCCTTATAAAGATATTCAATTTCTTGAGGACAATAGTATATACCGGTACAGAATAACAGAGTGGAAAGAGACCTTGGAGGTCTTCTAGTCCAACCCCTGCTCAAGCAGGAAACCCTATACCATTCCAGATAAGTGGCTGTCCACGTTCTTCTTAAAAGCCTGCAATGATAGAACAACCACAAAGACAAACCTTCCACTGGTTAATTTGTTTTTGTCCAAATCACTGCTAAAATAACCAAGCAGCTGCATGAATGTTTGGTAATTAAGACAATTAGAAGGAAACACCTCCCCCAAATTTTATTTTAGGCATAATGTTCCTGAAAGTGTCTATGTATTTTCCCCCAGTAAGGATATAATTCTACAATTAATCCTTATTCAGTTTGAGTGCCAGATCTGGACTGCCAAAATCCAAATACAAAAAAAAAAAAAAAAGCTTTGCTGCCGCATTTGATCATCCGGAGTTCTGTAGCCCGATTTTCTATGAAAGCAGCCTGGGACAAAAGATCTTTTGAACTGACGCTTCCTAGGACCCAGAAGAGACGTCGGCAAAAGGCCGATTCAATCACATCGGAGGTGACCAGGGGATCTTCCGACTCCTGCAACGCCGCAGTGGCGATCGCCATGAGTTTGCAAGCGCTTCGTTACCGCAGGGGATCCCTGCAAATTCTCAACCAGCTTCTGCTGCCTCATCAGACTCTCTATGAGGAAATAAGCAGCGTTCGCCAGGGCTGGGAGGCCATTCGGTCTATGAAGGTGCTGTCGGGGGGGGGGGGGGTTGGACAAGATAGCAATTGCCGAGTTAAGTTGACGAGCGTTGCGCGTGTTCCGCCTGTATCTCTAGAAAGCATGGTAATCGGAATCGCCGCCACGTAGTACAAAGAGGCGTTGGTGTTACAAAGTCTCTGGAGAGTCTCTCAGATTCAGAGTATTGACTTATAGATGTCAATACTTGCGGAGTTAAAAGTCCTGCAAAGTTAAGAGTAAAAGTGAGCGAATATAAACATTTCAGGCAATGGACAAAGTCATGGTTGTGTTCATATCAGAAAGGCAAAGTGGTTTTTCATTGTATTGAATCAATCCCAATTGGCTCCTACGGTGAGCCAAAATCCGTATTTTTCAGCCATAAGGGCAGTCTTCACAAAGCATATTTGGGTTTAATATGACATGAAATGACTGTAAATCTGTTTGCACATGTGTGCTTGCTATTATCTTAGCCCATATTCAACTCACATCTGGGGTACCAAATTTAAACTGCAAATATCCCAACAGGTATAGTGGTACCAAAACTGATCTTATCCCATCTATAAGGACCCAGGATTGTTGGAGGCAATTGTTGCTGACCACTTAGTGCTGTAAAGCAGAGTCCCCAACCCCCAATCTGCGGCATGCCAGCAACCAGGCCGCACGAACAAGCAAAGCCCCATCCATGGGATGTGGGCAGCACCACACACTCTGGTTTGTGGAAAAACCTGATGCCCAAAAGGTTGGGGACCTCTGCTGTAAAGCACAATGAAGCAGTATACAAGTCTAAGTGCTATTACTATCTAGTGATTGCATAAACCCAAATTGGTAGCCGTACATAAAGCACATACCATACTAGGATAACATCAGGTTTTGGCTGAATTGTGGTTCATGTTTTATCCAAATTCAGTCATTGTATAAGAAAGGGATCTTCAAACTTGGCCCTTTTATGACTTGCGGACTTCAACTCCCAGAATTTCTCAGCTGGGCACACTGGCTGAAGAATTCTGGGAGTTGCAGTCCACAAGTCATAAAAGGGCCAAATTTGAAGACCCCTGGTGTAAGAGATCTGTATATATGAAAAACCAAGTTGTTCATTTAACTACACAGGCTTGTAAGTGTAACATTATATTATGAATTTCTCCAACTTTAAGAGTGGTATTAATAATTTCTATTAATGCAAGGAATTCTAGCTGATTAACCAAATGCAGTTTCTAATATGTGCCATGCTCAGCAAAATGAGTCAGTGCAGCTTCTATATACTGACTTTAAATTATTGAATGCAGAATATTTAAACATATCATAAAATTGAAAAAGACCATTTGAGCCACAGTCAACCTACCTAATACAGAAATCCGAATTAAATTATCTCCTATATATAGCATTACTGCTTCATGATTATTTATTTCTATGAAGGGAATATACCACTTTCCTGGATAATTGATTCCATTGTCAATAGATGTACTTGATGGGAAGTGTTTTCTAACATTCAATCTGAATCTGTTTTCTTAAAACCTATGGTAAATGTTATTTTGGATTTCACAATTTAAAACAATGGCCAACAAATTTGCCATACTTTCAGTGTTTAAAAGGTGTATCCATTTATTCTCATAAGCAAATATGGTTCACTTTTCATCTTCATATTCTTATTTTTTTGTTACATTGGGTAGATATAATTCTTGTGATGGGACTTCAGCAATGTAAAAAATATTTGAATTTTGAGGGATTAAGAAATTATATTTCTCCTGATGAGCCTTAAAATTGCATTTGCATTTTTTGCAGCAATTGATGCTGCTGATTGTATTCAGTTGATTTACTATTTTATATATTGATCACTATTCCAAAATCTTTCACAGATACCATTACTAAGCTATATATCCTTTATCCTATACCTGTGCAAGTGAATAAAGTTTATTGTTAGGATGGTATTTATAGTCTACTTTCCATTTCTTAAATTCTTAGACCAGAAAGATATACATATGTTATGCCCTTATTTACAAAGATTTACATGACTTCTGTACCTCCTTTGGAGGAAGATGGGATTTTTCTATTTTTATATCATGTATACCCTGTGTGATGGTTTCAATTATATTGGCCACCAGGGGGCAGTGGAAAACTAGTTAATTTAAATGACTACCTGCACTTGTATGTTAAATTCAATTTACAGGCAGTTCTCGCTTACCCAGCATTTATTTAGCAATTGTTCAAAGTTACAGAGTTGCTGAAAAAGAAAACTTATGACCAGTTCTTGAAGTTTGGGCACCCAAAGTATGGTCATCTGATCATAATTTGGATATTGGCTTTCACTTAGATTGTTGTAGCGTCCTGTGATTAAGTGATCACCATTTGTGACCTTTGCTGGCTACCCACAATGAATGTCAATGGGAAAGCTGGTAAAGGATGCAAGTGGCTCTGGTAAGTTGCTTTCCCCCTCCCTGCCTGGCAGCAGCCAATCCCAGCCCTGCTGTGTGCCACACCTTACCTGCTTACCGACTTTGTTGAGGCTCTCTGGGTCTTGCTTAATGACCAATGATACTTGCTTAATGACAGCAGTGGGGATTGCCATGATTGCCATTGTTAAGCAATGCGGTCACATTTTACAACTACATCACTCAGCATTGTAAATTCCAGTCCTAATTACCCTAACCCTAACCTAACCCTAACCCTAATTACTGTTGTTAACTGAGAACTTAAATTTCTCTATTTTAGTGTAATATGTGAACAGAGTCTTACTTACTTCATAATAGGACGGTCTTTGAGAAATCACTGGTATTTGGCCAGTAGAAAGATGTTTTGTTAAACATCACTAATATTTCCACAAAAAATAATTTTTCAGTAATCTAACTGGAGGCACTAGCTATCTCAGAACTAGAATAGGTGAGGACTAAAAAGGTTATAGATTCTTATTTAATATATATTTATATAAAGTATGGCTTTATAGAATTGAAGTATTAGGCGTGATCTTGTGAATCATGTTTCTGTTCAGTTTATCTCACTAAATATATCCAGAAAGAATCTACTTCATCTCAAGTCAGGCTGTTCCACTGTCAAATCATTGAAATATTGGGGCAGCATTTGGTTGGATTTAGTCTTGTTTTATTTATTTATAAAACTCATTTTACATGCCAGCTACTCTTCTGATTCTAGGCATCATTTAATATTAATAAAATAATAATATATATTTACTGATTTTGATTATGTGACATCAATTTTTTTCAACTCCTAGAACACAGATCATGATCTACCCTTAACCTATTCTTCAAGTCTTCCAACAGTGCACTAATTGCCACTGTAACTGAGTAATGCATTTATAAAACCAGCAAAATGTACAAATAAACCTGTTGCTGCAATAAAAATTATTTATTTTTACCCCACAGTATTTTTAGAATGTTGAAATTTTCTCTTTCTACTATTCAGAAAGTCTTGGCCCTCCTGATTTCTTCCAACATGAATGCCTGGAAATTCTCTCCCTATTAAATTACTTGGGTCAAGCAAATTCATCATAAGAAAAAGATGGATGTTCAGTGTATTGTATAATCCTCTTTAGCCTATTGTTTTCTGCAAACCTAACTAATCTGGTTAATTCACGGAACATGCAAATTACAAAAATCAGGTTAAGTAACCATTCAATTAACTGTGTGAACAAAACCTATCATAAGTTTATCCTTATACTTGACTATCTTAATATTTCTACCTATTTGTTCATGTTTTGTCTTCAAGTATAATAGAAAATCATTCTGTTTCACTTTCTGGGTAAGCAGCCTGTCAAATTGTGATCTTATCTCTCCTTCGGTTTCTCTTTACAAGCTAAATATACTCAGTCCTTCCAAGTGTTCTTAGTAGGACTTAATTTCCATCAGGTCATTTTTCTAGATGTTTGAAGTTGTCCTTTTAAAATTCAGATCAGATTATTCCAAATAATCTTTTCCATTACTTCAGGAACATTTTGGTGTTTATAAACAGTTTTAATCTTGCATACTTGATATGTTGAATTATTTTTAATATGATTATTTGACTTATTGGTTTTATTCCTTTTTTGCTGTACATTACCAGAATCATTTGTTATGAAAGGGTGGCCATATAACTTTGATAAATAAATAAATAATACTCAAAACTGACTACATAATATATGCTGTGCAGATTTAATTCCCACTAGATTCAATATTGCATACTCTCAGGAAAATGGATACAGAAAGATAGTTAATGAAATAGTCATTAATCCATAGAACATTCTAAGGAGTGTTTGAAAATATGTATTCACCAGCTCTCAGTTGCATGGGTAAAGGAAAATGGCTGAGCTTATATGCATTAGGTGACCATCTGCTCTTCCTTCATAAATACTAAGAAAGCTGTTTTTCTGTTCCAGCTAATGTTTCTGTCTTTAAAAGCAATCCTACATAGAGTGTCTTCTTTTCTATTGAAATTTACATAGAGTGTGTTAGAGTGTAATTTACATCTTGGTAGCCTTATACTGACTGATGGGTAACATTGTGATTATAATAACTTACCTTGTTTCCTATCAGGCTTCCCATCCTCCCTTATTTTTATTTTGTTGTAGATTCTTTTAATTAAAAATATTAAATGAAAAACTGACAGACCAGCATTTTTTAGTTTATGTTCATGCCTCTGGGTCTCATATAGATTCCATTGGCTTCATTGGAACATTCTTAAGCAGTGGATACTTGAAAGCAAGAGCTTTTAAGAAGTATTCTTATCTATGGGGGGGGGGAATCAAATGTAAACTGGAAGCCTAAGGAGCAAAGAGCATGCTGGGGGATTGAAAAGATATTAAGGAACAAGTTTACTCACTGGTTATGAGCAATCAAGGCTGTCCTTAGACAGCCATTTTATGAGAACAGCCACTAGGTGTTAACATTCTAAATATGCTTGCTGTTCCCCCAATGTACAGTCCTTTCTACCTGATTCTATTTGTGTTTCTTCCTTTCTATCTGTGTTATTTTAAAGTGAAAATAAATATCTCTTCTTAGGTGCGAGGTGCTCCAGCCATTGCCATTATAGGTTGTCTAAGTTTGGCAGTGGAATTGCATAATAAAGGAAATGAAGAACTGAGTTTGGGTAACCTGGAGATTTTTGTACTGGACTCACTAAGCTACTTAATAAGTGCCAGACCTACTGCTGTCAACATGGCCCGTGCAGCTCAGGAGCTGGGACATTTTGTCCAGCAGGAAGCAAAACATGAAGATACTACTCCAGAGAGTTTACGAGAAAGGTGAGGGTTTAAGAGCCTATCTTCTTTCTGCCCTGAAATTGTAAGCAAGAAATGTACAAGTTTGTGTAACCTCTTATTGTAGTGTGATCAACTGGGCAGAAGCATTGCTGGACAAAGACCTGGAAGACAACAAAAGTATTGGGGAACATGGAGCTTGCCATCTCTTGCAACGAGTAGGCCAGGACAAAGTGAGAGTCCTGACTCACTGCAATACTGGCTCATTGGCCACTGCTGGTTATGGCACTGCACTTGGTAAGTGGCATTTCTTGGCATTCAAGAAGCGTGACCATTTCTGCCCTTTGTGATAAAGGGTAAGAGATTATGGTAATACAGGTAGTCATATAGTATGACATAAAATAACTTAAAATTTTGTCATGTTATGTCATATAGTATGCCTTAATTTAATTGTGATGTTTCTGACACAAACAAGATTATTAAGTGAGTTGGCCTGATTTTTTTTTGTCATGGTTGTTAAGAAAATCATTGCAGTTGTTAAATGAATTGGGTTGTTAAATGAATCTAGATTTCCCCATTGACTTTGCTAACTGGGAAGGTTGCAAATAGTGATCACATGACTCTAGGATGCTGCAACCATTGTAAATACATGCCAGCTGCCAAGCATCTGAATTTTGGTCATGTGACCATGGAGATGCTTTAGTGTCATAAGCGCAAGTACTGGTTGTAAGATGTCACCTCTTATAACAGCCTTCCCTAATGTTCCACGTTTTTTTAGGATTTTGGCTGTCAACATCTGAAGGAAGACTCCAAATTGCTTGTATCTTGACAGCTTGTAGTCTTTTATGTAGTCTGTTATTTTGACTTGTTTGTAACATTGCTTCATAGGTATCATTCGCTCGTTACATGGGATGGGTCGTCTGGAGCATGTTTACTGTACTGAAACACGGCCATACAATCAGGGGGCCCGGCTGACTGCTTATGAATTAGTATATGAGCAGGTGCCTTCAACACTCATTGCTGATAGCATGGCCTCCTTGGCAATGAAAGAAAAAAAGATATCAGGTAGATGTCTTGTTTTCTTCTTTTTCTGCATTATTGGTGTCATTTCTAGATTCCATGCTAGGACATGAGTGTACATGTGAGTCTATGGCTGGCCAAGAACCCAAGAGGTCAAGTTATTAAGGAAGTTGCTGCTCAGGTCACTTAGGTCACTGATGTCAGATCACTGATGTCTTGGGATGGGACATACTTTTTAGTTGGATAATAAAGAAATCTAATGATCACTAAAAGCTTGTAGAATTGCTTTGTAGAATTGGTAGCAGTAATCATATACAAACATGCAAAGGAAAATCTTGTTGGAAGGAAGAACATATGGCTAAATGGAAGTCAGAGTGGAAAGCAATGTTTGTTATGTAGAAAGTCTCAGTTGAATCTCTAATCTTCACTTAAAAGGTTTTCAGATGAAAGGACAGAGAAAACCATATTTGAAATTCTGGAGGGCTGCTGCTACCATGAATATAAAAATATTTGACAGTTCTCTGAAGGCATAGTTCTGTTTTCTGTGTGCTGATCCTTAATTATATTTTCTTACTGAATAGCCTAGTACATGCAACATGCCAAGCCAATATCTGATTTGTTAACGTTTTAGCATATGTATTGTGTGAACCCAGCCAATAGGGATTTAATCAAAAAGACATACTTAAACCATGGCTTCAACCCAGTTTAACCAAAATTTCTACAGTCCCAATAAACTCTAGGAGATGGCGCAAAGAACAAGAATGGTGCAAAGAACAAGAAAAATAATGAATTGTTCCCATTCTCCCACGGAAGGACATTTTAAAAACATATGGGATCATGTTCTAGATTCTGGAAAATGTAGAACAGGCATGCAATTCACACTAGGGAAATTTTGTGAGGGAAAAAACAAAAACAGCAAGCTCTCTTTGTTCTCTTCTACTTTTTCCTTGTTCCGCATTGTGGATAGTCTAGTATTGAACTAATTTGGAACACATTAGGCTTTTAATTGCCATTGTCCTTCCTTTTGTAATTCAGCTGTCATTGTGGGAGCAGACAGGGTTGTTGCTAATGGAGACACTGCCAATAAAGTTGGTACTTATCAGCTGGCTATTGCTGCAAGATACCATGGGATTCCCTTCTATGTGGCAGCACCCAGCACTTCATGTGACCTGCAATTAAAACATGGAGGACAGATCGTTATTGAGGAACGGCCAAGCCAGGAACTGACAGACATCAATGCTGTACGAATTGCAGCACCAGGTAGCAAAACATTAGAAGGTTAAATATAAACAAAGGCTGTATGTAAAGAAAGGAGACATAATAGAATACTAATATTTTTCAGAACTATTTGTAATCAGTGATCTAACAGTGGCTGCCCCAGCTTACATAAATCTAGATGATGTATATATTTTGAGTAAATTGTCATAGATCAAGAAAATGTATTCTGACTTGAATCTCCTTGGATACATGACAGTCTAGTAAGCTATAATCTACTTTTTGAAGAATGACAATTGATTATGGAAATTTAGTCCAAACTTTCTTGAAGGACATAAAGTTGCCTACCATTGTCTGTAATTTTTTTTAACTCTAGAAGCATCTAGATATCCTTTCTACATCTTCTCTTTTTAGAGTTTCCCATTTTTAAAAACTAAGCCATAACATATACCATTAATGAAATAAATACATCTGTTTTATAGCACTAATGGAATAGCACATATACTTTCTTCCTTCCTAGGCATTGGAGTTTGGAATCCAGCCTTTGATGTCACTCCTCATGAATTGATAACGGGTGGTATTGTCACTGAGTTTGGGGTCTTTCCTCCTGCTGAACTTCAGGCAGCCCTGACACGGGAAGCGTATAAAGTATAGAGAACCTGAGTTAAGCTGTTTCCAGATAGGGTGCGAATCTAATCTTCAACAATTGTTACAAGGGCTTCTTTCCCTAATCTGGCATCTTTCTAGATGTTTGGGATACAGAATTTTGTACAGCTAAAAATACCTCTGAATACCACTGGGTTTGAGTCTGAGTCTGATTGGAATGCTTGATATTTCTGCAATTTTGTTACTGAATGTTCATTTGCAAATTCAGCAAATTAAATAATGTGGGAATCTTGCTTCTTGAGTTTCGTGTACTTTGGCTTTGTGAGGATTGCTTGATTTTGGAATTTTTGAGTCATACTATGACATATAACTTTTCTTTAACATCAAGTGATTTTTTAATATGTATAGTATAATTCTTAATCTGAACCATTTTTCACTTGCTGCTTAGGTTTATTTATTAACATTCTACTATGTGTTCATTACCCTGGTGGCGCAGTGATTACAATGCAGTATTGTAGGCTAACTCTGTCCACAGTCTGGAGTTTGATCCTGACAGGAGATCAAGGTTGACTCAGCCTTCCATCCCTCCAAGGTCGGTAAAATGAGGACCCAGATGTTGGGGGCAATATGCTGACATTGTAAACTGCTCAAAGAGTGCTGTAAAGCACTGCGGAGCAGTATGTAAGTCTAAGTGCTATTGCTAATGCACCTGTTTTAAGGTCCTTTGGTGCTGTATCTCACATGATTTTAATCTTATGACAACAGGTTCTCTGTAGCATTCCCTTCCATTGTAGTTTTGTACCAGGAAATCTTCTGCAATACATTTTATGTAAACCTAATCTTGGTAGATATAAAAGTATGACCTATTACTGATCTCTCTATTGGGGAAGAGGCAAGGAAATTCAGACATGATAGCTTGACATATGGTTCATGGCAGAAGTCACCATTGGCTTACTTCTGCTTTATTTTCATTGGGGTAACTGTTCAGGATCAATGCACATGGCAAATATTAGTTGTGAATGCGTGACATGATATTTAAGTTCTTTCTTGACTATCTCAGATCTTGCAAGCTGATTCTTTGTAGCAACATTTATTTTCATTTTCTGTTCTTCAGACAAAATTCATTCCTCACAATAGGCCATGTACTTCCCATTACTTTTCATCAGAATAAGATGAAATTCCACAATGTGTTATTTTGAAATGAGAGTTGGGTACAGAAGGAGAAAGATAAAACTTCAATGCAGTGGAATGGGATAAAGTTTCTACAGTAACAAATAAAAATTAAAAACATAGGCAGGGATTATTTTGAATTAATGGTTTAAATACAAAAGTGTGTGACCAGAACATACGTTTATTGAGGTGGCCTGAATAATTGCGAATTAAAATGCAATACACATACCCCCACACACGGAAAATGAATGGGCTGAAAGAAAGAGACGTAAAATATAAAGATTTGATAGAGTTGATGAGCTCCTCAAAAAAGAAAAAAATGATAAGTTTAAAGCTCCAAAGACAGTTTATGACACAATGTATGACATAGTGGAAAAAAAGGATAGTTAGCAAGGATAGAAAAGTAAGGAAAAGAAATTTTGAATGTTGTTGGTGTTAACTAGATGTAGTTAGATTTCCTTTCATTTTCTCTTTTCCTTCTTTTCCTTACTATTTCCTAATCTTTTTCTGTTCTTTGAGTAACAGTGCTAATCCCAAAATGGAATTGTGTGATGGGTTCATATGTTTATGAACACTGCTCAAATTTGACTTAATAAGAAGATATAAACAAAAGAATGAATTAATGTGTATCAGAAATTGCGTTGATCCAGAAATACAATAAAAATAGATTGAATTTTAATCTCTCGTTAGATCCTTTTAGTCAAACCATCTTCTGTCAGTGATGCTGTTAGAAGAATTACTGTGCTTATGTATTGAAATGCTTTGAACCCTTAACACATTCTGTTTCTTAACTGTTTTAAGACAGCAGAATCAATGCTGAAATAAAAATGGACAACCTCATATAGAAAGAAAATATCTGTGGGGTTCTGTGTGGAAAGGGCCATTTTAATTGGAAAGAATGAACACAATAATAGTTCATGCCCATAAATCTGTTTTTTAAAGCATTTAAATTTCCTAGGGCTAGGAATCTATGTAGGGGATTTTAATTTGCAACTAATTGTTCTGCAAAAGTATAACTCAAAGGAGCTATATTTAACTTACTGGGGGGAAAAGAGGTTATGCTAGCTTTGATTGACTATAATTTTCAGCAGCTGTAGATTTAAAAAATGGTGCATCAATTAAATGAACTGAATTTGAAGTTATGACTGCTATAATAGAGCTGATCACAACCTGTGATAATGTTCTGTATAGTTTGGTTGCGTTTGACTGGCCCTAATGATTTTTTGTTTCTCCAATTCACAGATGGGTTCTTGACGCACTGTGTTCATGAAAAATCCTAATGTGAAAATTTGCTTAAGGTCAGGGTAATTTAAATAGCCTGTCAAGAGAAGCTTTTAGAAAACTCAGTGTGTGACTCTAATCTGCAAGAATTCTCATTAGGTATGCCTTATATTAAGACATTGATTTTTGGCTCTGTTCCTTCAAGTGGAAAGTTCCTCTTTTATCAGTGCGTATGGTGGGTTATTAAAAATAATTTCTCTCTCTGGATGTTGTAATGCCTATTTAATGTTCTTGTTGGAAAGGTTAAAACCAATTATTGTTGTGATTTTTTTCCTGCTGGCATTTCCATTGTGTACTATGGGTCAAACAATTAGCAGTCATAAAAATGTTCATTGTAGAATGCTGCTCTTGTTATATCTATGTATCAAGAGCAAATTAACATTTCCCCCCCCTAAAATGGATATCCTAAAATTAAGTCATTTTTATGGCATTGTGCATGTGCTACATCATGTGCCATTTCTAATCCATATGGAATCCACATAGAAATAAATTATTCTTTATTCCAATTATTGCTGATTATTCATTTTAACAACGTCAACAGAAGCTATGTGGTTTGTAATTGCCAGAAGATTCAGATGGGTTGGCCATTCAAATGCAGCAGAAATTATTTTTTAAAAAAGAAAAGTCACAACTTTATAAAGGTATTGATTTTATTTAATATGTATATTAAAATCCATATTATCTTTCAGAAAATGTACTTTTGATCACCTCTTTTCTTGTCTAGTTTGGGCCATGGATTCTTCAAATGAGATGACAATTTTTTATATTTGTTTAATTAAAATAATATCTTTAAAAATATGTTATTTATTTTGTACTTTTGTCTCAAAACTTTTGGACTCAAAACTATGTTTTTTGGCACTAGGTGGCATGTGAACTCTGCCCATTGTTTTACAATGATTTCTGTAGAAGGAAGAATAAAATAGTTCACTATTTTTTGTTTTTATTTAGATTTACTATGAATCATTCTGACAATAAACTTAGTAAGTCTGATTCATTTTTTTAATTATTTATTATTAATTTCCTGTTGCTATTCTATCTACAGCTTTCTTTCTTTGGGGAACAGGACAGTAAGTTTGATCAGAATATTTTTTGTTGTCTACTCCTTCCCTTATCTGTTGCTTAAACTGCAGGTAGTTTAAAATCCTAAAACTTCAAACTTCTCTTTGAAAATTTCTTTCAAGCAATCTTTGGCTATTAATATTAACTATGATTCAGCCACCAAGATAATGTTAATGTGACTTTACACAGATACTTTGCTGCTAGGTAGACTCTTTGCCCCAATTTATTTTTTAAAAAATATAAAAGTAAAGAGGAAGCTGCAAAATGACTAGTCTCAGGCATAAATGTGAATCAAGATGCCAGTTATCATTTACAAAGCCTTATATGGCATAGATCAAGATATTTGCAGGACCATCTTTCTCCTATTCTTTCTGCTTTATCTACCAGATGTAGCAGCGGGAGCATGTCCTGGGTTTTTTCCTTTGAACAGGAGGGTGGTTTGTACAAATGTGCTAAATAAATAAGTAAATAAATAAAAATAAATTAAGGTGCAAGATTCTGATGCATCCTCTTTCTTGGTCTTATTTCTGTTTGAGTTAGTTTCCAAATAGTTTTTGAATACTATTTTAATTGTTAATTTTATTGTGTTCTGCAAAAATTCACATTTGTCAGATGAGTGTCCATATAAATTTAATAAATTATTAAATAAATATTGTTGGATTCAGGAGTTGTGCCTTCTGGATGGTAGTATTCTAGAACGAAATCTCTCTGGAAATGTTGTTAGCCTTTTGAACAGTCAGGGTTTGAATACCTGGTTGTTTCCCCAGATATCTGTGCCAAAAGGTGAGCAAGCTGTGCTGCTAATGCAGTTTTTTTGATTTGGGCGTTATTGCTTTAATCATGGATACTTTTAATCATGGATATGGTTTATGTGGTATAGTTCTTGTTTTAATCCTTGGACACTACCCACAATTATGGTCTTGAGATGGGCAACCATATAAATAATTTAAACAAAATAAGTAATCTGTCTTTCCAGATTTTCAGTTCTAGCAGCATTTATCCAAAATCAGATAGTGAATAGTCAATAGGCTGAATCAATAAAGAGCATTGGAAAGAAAGTTTAGAATGAAGAGGACCAAACTCTCTTTCCCTGTAGCAGGTGGCAAACAATCCCACATTATAGATAGAAGACTGCATCTGTTGCCAGAAGGATGTCCATATAGTCATCAATTAAACCTTGCTTGAAAGAGAACTTTGCTACATTGTTTGGCAGCCATTTTATGAGCATCTCCATAATGTTTGAAAATTCCACTGATCCAAGTAGGACAAAGGCTCCTAGTTTTAAGATTTTGTAATAATGAATAACTCTAATTAATAATGGAAGTTCATGTTCTCAAACCCTTCAGGCAATGTCAAAGGAAATGGAATCTATAGGCTTACGGCTTGTTCTCATAATGGTAAATTATAGCTGTTCATGGTAGATAAGCATGACTATTTTTTCATTAAACTCCCAAGAAGTTCAAAATTATGACAAAAGTTGATGAAAATTGAGCACTTTTGTCTTGAAGCCATAGAAGAGGACACAGAATCAGTCTTGAAATATAGATTCCTAGTTGGTTTTTTAAATGGAACTATATGTCACTTTTAATATAGTTCACAAGAAAAGTTTGTTTTAACCTTGATATCACGTATTTAGTTCAACAATTCTGAACACCTTGTAGAGTCATCATAGCCTTTTGATTTAGCTGATCTTTGCATTAACTAGTGGATGACAATCTGTAGAATCATATCAGCAAGTTTTTTTTAACTGGTGAATATTTGGCACATCTTTAGAGTTTAACAATGTATAATAAAAGTTCAGCTCTCTTATTAATTTTCTGTTAGATTTTTTGTCCTGATTTCTGAGTAGTGTAGGTGTATGCTAAATTATCTTGTTTCTAATTGTTCTAAACAGAACATGATTAAAACTACTGAAGTTCAAATAATTAAAGAAAAGAGCCCTGAGTATAAAATGTACCTGCAATCAGTACCTGGAGATTAACTATAGTCTATACAGTAATCAGAAATGGATGAGAGCAACAGTTCATTAAACTGTCTTTCCTATGTTCTGAAAGACTGTAATTTACAATTGTCTATAATTCACATTCACTTGTTAAGAGAAAAGAATAACATAAATCTTTTTTCTGGGGGTGTGCTGCTACATTCTTTAAAAGGCACTGGATATTGGCAGCCAGATGGGCAATGGTAGGTATGAGAAAAAGATTTGGGTTTGTCTAGTTTAATGAAGAGAAGGACGAGGGGAGACATGATAGCAGTGTTCCAATATCTCAGGGGCTGCCACAAAGAAGAGGGAGTCAAGGTATTCTCCAAAGCACCTGAAGACAAGACAAGAAGCAATGGATGGAAACTAACCAAAGAGAGAAGCAACCTAGAACTAAGGAGAAACTTCCTGACAGTTAGAACAATTAACCAGTGGAACAACCTGCCTCCAGAAGCAGTGAATGCTCCAACACTGGAAGTTTTAAAGAAGAAACTGGACAGCCATTTGTCCAAATGGTATAGGGCAGTGGTTCTCAACCTTTCTAATTCCGCGACCCCATAATACAGTTCTCCATGTTGTGGTGACCCCCAACCACTTATACATCACCGGGTGCCGGGGGCGTGGCCAAAGAAAAGGGGGAAAAAATGGCGGACAGCCTTGTTTTGCGACCCCCGTGAAATGGTCGTTCGACCCCAAATGGGGTCCCGACCCACAGGTTGAGAACCACTGGTATAGGGTTACCTGCCTGAGCAGGGGATTGGACTTGATGATCTCCAAGGTCCCTTCCAACAACTTCTTCTTCTTCTTCTTCTTCTTCTTCTTCTTCTTCTTCTTCTTCTTCTTCTTCTTCTTCTTCTTCTTCTTCTTCTTCTTCTTCTTCTTCTTCTTCTTCTTCTTCTTTATTTATTATTTATTATTTTTATAAAGAACAGGTACAAAACTTTGAGGCAAGAGAGGGGGGGATGAAAGGCTGAATTGGGACAGTATCAAGACTAAATGATTTGATCATATTAAGAAATGAATACCAAGCAAACCAATCAACTCTATGTAACATTTCTTGGTAGGAATGATTCGGTTATGAATAGCAGTAAAAACCAAATGCGAAGTCAAATGAAAGATATAAATAGCAGAAAAAGTACAGAAACATGATAAAACAGCTTTGTAAGTCTAATTAAGGCTACTTGGAAAAAAACACTAAGTTCAACAGGGAATTTTGTAAGGTCAGTGGGTACAATAGGAATATAGTCATTTTGACACCACAGATTGCCCTTTTTTAATTACTGTTTTTTTAACTGCTAAGGACTAAAAAGGGTAGAATTTGCTATAATGCTAAGAGTAGAAAGGACTGAAATCTTCAACATGCTTTATTGTTTTTTTATATTTTATGGACATGTTAAACTATTGGAGACCTAACTCAGCCATTTTGTTTCTAGGAAATCATATTACTATTTTCTTTTAGCAGCATACTGTTTCGGAGTTCTGGGCTTTGCATAGATAGCATGATTCAACAGGGAGTGAGAAATTTAGAACAACAGAATTCTAGTGCTAAATTTAGAATAAAAATGACTGTCAAAGAGAAACTGCAGAATAAGATAAAGTTCAGTTCTGAGTTTAAGATTATTTCCTATTGAGAATAGATAGGAGAGTTGAATCAATTAATAATGTATATCCTTTCTTACACCAAGGGTAACATTTGGTTATAGAAAAGCATGCTAAGGCATAGTCCCCAAATATATGAGGTCAGAGAAAGAAGTGGGTGAGTCAAGACAAAAATTAAATTTGATTTTAATTTTAGTTAAAATAAAATTCAATACGTGGTCATGATTCATATGAGGGATATTTAATTTTTTTACATTAAATACTACATTTCATTGACAAATTCTGGGATTGCATCCAAGCCTTGGGGATGGGGAGACTGCATTCATGACTCCATGTGATTAAGAGTTAGTCATCCTTGTTTTGTCAGATCATATGACAGGTTTACTTTTTGTCATATCTGCTTTATATACCCAAAAATATTTCCTTGGAAAAAAGATTTGATGGTTGCATAGCATGGCCAAGAGAGACCTATACTTAAAGAAATACGTTGTCTTCTTATCACAAAAAATTTTTACTATGCTTAGTAATTTCAGATTCGCTAATAGTTTATCAAAATGTACATGC